CAGTTCATTATTCAATGCTCTATCCCGGGCCATTATTCTCCGCTCCGTGATATAAATCAAAAATTGAGAGATTAATGGCTGTTGGAGCATTTATATCGGGAACACGACCTCCGCCTCCGAAACTCTCGTCAAAATTCCCGTGGCACGGTCGTGACTTCTAACACGGTAATTGATTAGTTTCCGGTTACGGTACGTCCGATAAAACTTTGCGTTTCTTCCCTGTAGACTCGTCGGTATATCTTCGATCGTTGCCACGAAGCGACTTCCTCGAATTATTGAAACCGTGGAAACTTCGTGGAATAATAACCGATGTTAAATTATGGTAAATAAACGAGTTCGTGGAGAAGCAGCTCGTAGAGAAAAAGAAGGGACGGGCCCGCGAGTAAGCAGAACGAGGACAGCGTCTGGTAATTTAGCCTCACAAAGGGAGACTATAACGTCTGACCCAATACTACTCGCACGGGAAGGTCTCTCTCCTTCTCCGGGAGCAAACAATGTTTGCGTGTAAGCACATTCTAGTTTTAGGTTCATTACGGACATAGTTGGCACAATGGAAGGGAAGTGCAAAGATTTGTGTTCTCTGTAAATTGCTGGGAAAATGTACTGTAACGCGTACGGTGGATTTGCACTAGCTACGATAAACGGAAAAGTCCGCGAGACCGCGTCGCGGAGGCGCGAACAATTTTTGAGCAAAGGAGGGTTCTCGGCGTCGTAAAATTAGTCTCAACCGGCCATGATCCCTCTTCTATCTTACCGTGCCATCGAGCACGTTGCATTTTCGACTATTTTCGACTCGGAATCGGGGGGGACCCCGTCTGTTCCACGGTCGCTCGAAGGCCAAAATGCTCGAGATAGAGCGCGACGCGTGCCAGCTCCGCATTAGCATACCGACGAGTTCCAAAACTGGGGAATTACAAATTTTCCATGAAACTGTTTACATTGTTTCGCACGATGAACCGCGTTTTCGGCCGTCGACAATATACGAAATCAACAAGTGCACTGCAGCTCTCGCTGGTGCGCGCGATCGATGAAAGTTTAATGACAAATGGTACTCGTGCAGGTACATTCGACGTGTGTCGCACTGTGAAATGTAAACGAGTCGTGTCCGCGATGAGAGAGAAATACCACCCCGTTTCTCTCGTAAAATGCGTTTACCATCGCGTCGATGCCGGCGATCATTAGTGTATTCGAAATTCCGACCAACCGTGAAATAAGATAATCGCGCTGGTATGAACAACGGCGCAACGCGAACGTGACCGTATTGTGCAAGGAAACTCCGATACTAATTCCGTTTTCCGAATACGCGTCAAGGGTTAATTGTTCGAATTGTCTGAAAAGCGCTCTACGGAATGTCAGAATCATATTCCGCGTAAACTGATAATCGACCAATCTGTGGAGAACAAATATTATAATGCTGAAATCATCGTGCACGTCTGTTCTCCATCGAAAATGCAGTTGGTTTTTTCTCGTTCGTAGCCTGACGTTCGCTGGGCGAGGGTTGATCCGAGTTGGCGAGAGTCCTTTTCGCGTCGCGACGATCGAGAGCAGTCAACAAGTGCGGGGTTCTCGTGGACGTCGAGGGATGCAAATTACCGGGGGGGTTAGCAGATCGCGAGGCACGGTTCGTTACGGACGATGGGAGAAAACTCGCGAACAGGAGGGAAGCGCTCGAGGGCACCGTGAGACAATTCGAGTTGCCAGTCCGTAGCTGGAAGGGCAACTTCGAAACTCGCGGATACTGCTCGACGTTACTTGGCCAATGCTGTCTCCCCTTCTCCTAGGACTCGAATTAAATTGTAAACGAACTTCTCTGCGCCCGGGATCCAACGATCTGGGATCATATCCCAATGGGAGGAAAAGCGGCCTCGTTTAATCCACACCCCCCCACCTCTGGCCGGAGAAACGGTGCTTGTTTCGTAAATTGGGCCGAAGAGTCGCTGAAAGGAGCCAGGGAAATTCTCTCGAGCTTCCGAGTTGCGAAACTTTCCTGAAAAATTCCATCGCGTCGACGTTTCCCTCGTCCGTCCTCGAATTCTTTGACTATAGTTATTTCGATGCTGCCAGGTAGCCAAAGAGTTAAAGCATCGCGTCCGAGGAACGTCAACTATTCTCCGGGAAACCCTGGATGAACCCTCGAAACCTGGATACAGGGACGTCCGGGTCAGTTCTGACCCGTGGCAAATTTTTATTAAATATAAAATGCAGGGAAGAGTTAGTTTGATCTGTCTTGCTCGATGGCTGCTGGAGCCAGTATCGACTGCAGGTTAATATTCTAGACTCCTCACGGTTAGTGGGAAATGGGGATGGTGGATTAATATTCATAGGAGACGGGTCTTTAAATATACTAGAAACGTATCGCGACGGAGGGACGTGCACAATTACGACCGTGGGCGCGATCGATCTAGATTTAAAGGGGAAGGAGTATGATTAATGAAAACACGTTTATCTATTTTAAAGTCTCTCAGAGCGACCGCCAGACAGATCGTTGAATGTCTGGACAACGACCAACGACTGGCCCAGTTCCATTTATTCGCATAAACAGTGGTGCGTTTGTTCTTTAATGCGGGAACGCACGGTATTATGACACAGCACTCGTAACAGTACGATATCAAAAGGATGAAAAAGTTTGAATGCATTACTCCCACCGTGGTAATTAAATACGTTCATGGGATATCTTTTACTCCGTAGAATTTATTTGTCCTGGTATTATTACGATGATTTTTAAAGGACTTAGGTAGGAATCGATTCGCGTTGACGAACGCGCGTCGAACGAAAATCTAATTGCGAGGGGGACGAGCTCTCGTTAAACACACGGCCGGCCGATGTTCGCTTTCATTAACAACGTAACGTGATAATTGAAATTGAAAAATTGTTACGGTAAGCTGGGCAAATCCGCGCTTATCGCGACATTATCGAGATTGGTCGCAGGAGATTTTGTCGTTGCAGATCGGTGCTCGTTACGCGTTCGAAAACATTCACGCCCGGGTTCTTTTTTTAACGTTTCAAATATAATATTTCTTCGAAAAGACACGCTGCTCGTGACAAGACCGAGAGATTCGTACAGTATGTGTAAAAATGAACGGGGAGTCGCACGGATGAGAATAATTGTCGTTCGAAAGTAATCAAAACATGGCCGCCGGTGTAAATTTATATTTCATTTGCTGCGCGTCGTTATAATATATAGAACATTCAATTAATAATTGAAACCAATATTAACATTACCGCGCAATCAAGTTGTGTTTAATGAGTACGGCGACCAATTGAAAAGAGACAAAATTAAGTAGACATATCGCAAAGACGCGTTATAAATAATTAATATTATAATTGATTTATAATTGATATTTTATGTTACCTCCGACCGAATATATTACTCGTTAAGTTTTCGGTGTGTGTTTCCAAACACGTTCGGGTTCAGATATTTCTATAATAATTCGCGATTATCGGATAACAGGGAGTATTTTGCACGAGCTCGACAGCAAGAATTGCAATCAAGCATAAGCTTAAAGCATCCGCGGCTAATCGTATAAAGAGACAATTCTCAATAGCGTATCGAAGAACAGCCGTGAAACATTAAATTACTCGTTGATCCGTACGAGGGGGTTTCGCGAGCGTACGAGTCGTTTCCCCGGGAGAGAATCGTTATTAAGAGGATCGCGGGAAACGAGCACAAAACAGTCAATGAATAATTTCGACAAGGTTCGAGCAGGAGCGTCCCTTCGAAACGTATATCCTTCCCGAGTAGCAGAATGCACGAGGGGGCTCTGAATGGCTTTGAAAATACTCGAGTGGCGGGATGAATAAATGCATAAGTGAATTTACATTTGCTACCCCCCGCGTTCATCGCTTCGCCACCGTCGGAGTACTGCACGCGAACCCCAAGAAACACGCTCGGAACAGGTTCCATTTGTTTAAGAAGAAATCTTGCCTCGCGGACGTTTACAGCGTGTTCCTTTTCCCTTTTACCTTTTTTTCAAGGGGACTACCAAACACTCGCCGGTTTCAATGGAAAACCATTCGATCTCTGCTCGATTCATCCCTCCAAAGCCTCCCGTAGTTAACGATCGCGTAACTACTCCACGGATTGGCGATCACTGTCTCCGGGACTCCGAGCAAGTAGTATTTCCCGAACATAGTCAGACGCTCGAACTCCTTTAGAACACACGACTTAGTTTGGGGAGAAGAACACGTTGAAAAGATCATTCAAACGCGTAGATATCGTAAAAAAAAGTATTTCCTTTTGAGATACGACATTTTCGTTACGATCACCGCAAAATCGCGGTTGTTGGAATCATTGTAATGATCGAGTCAGCGTGGTTTTGGGGCGAAGGAGATCGTCGGTGGCTGTCCCGTGGAAGAATAATCTCCCGCAAAATCCTGTCCGGCTTTGAATCGGTTATTCGTCCCGCGAGTAAGAAAGGCGTCGAAGAAACGACGGGCAACACCGAGGCAGCGAAACTTAATCTCTCGTGGAAGAAACTGGTTGGCACGGGTTCAACGGTTCTCCCCGCGAATCGGGTTCTAACACAAAACCGTCGGGAATCCGCGGCGCACAAAGAGCTAACCGTTCCGCGGCGCTACTATTTCCAACGGGTCTGAGCGCCATTAGCTCGAGTAAAATCCTCTCGACGATGAACGCGCAATAGCGAGGCTCTCACGGCTTGGTTCGCGATCCACGGTGAAACTCGACCGAGAGGGTTTTCCGGAGGACGGATCGTCTCCACTTTCGATTGACTTTGCGTTTAATTGGCCGTTGAAAAGTTGACTCGGTCCCGGCGCAAACCCGGCACGAGAGGACGCCCGTCGATAGGACGCGGAAACAGTTTCGCTGGCGAAATTAGTAGTACACTCGAGGACGATGTTTAACCTTCGCGCCGGTCCTCCAGTTAACGTGGAAATCGGATATCAAACGCGAAAGCTCTCGCGCTTTTATTCCCCCGCGGCGGCCGACGGTTGTTCGGTGTTCGTTTCACGTGCCCGTGTGTGTGTGTTTTGCATTTCAGGGACGGCTGCTGGGAAAAGCGGACGCGTACTTTAGTTCCTTTCGACGGTGCAACTATCCACGAATAAGGGCGCCGAACGCTGCTCCCGAAATCGTTTACGAGTGCGCCAGGTACTCCAGGTACGTCGAACAAATTATTCCTCCAATCCCTATCGAACAAGATACATCCACGGACGGAGAGATCTTGAAATTTTTTCATTCACGGTCCGATCGTTGCTTAAAACTTTTCGCTTAAACGGAGAGAAAAAGTTCCTCTTTCTATTCGGTTCGAAATTGTTATTTAAAACTGTGATTTTTAAAATGCTTTCCTATTTGTTCAAAATAAATTCGGTGTCCTGCATTTTCGAAACAGATCCGAGAAACGATGGCCCGAGCTTGCACTAATTTTTCGTGGACCTGGACGTATTGCGATTTCGCGAAACTCCCTGACATCGAGCGCAAAAAGTGATCGATTTGGCGTGGAATGACCCTCCCCGTATTTGCATAAGTCACGCAGCGACAGATTACTCTCGAGCAAACTCACGGAACGTCGTCCCCGGCGTTGGTCTCCGTCGTACGCGTTGAATTTTCCATTTTCCAATTTCCACGTAATCGTCGTTCGTTTATTTGTTAAACGATTAACGAGTTTTTTTTTTTTGCTGAAAGACTTGCTAAAAGAAGTAACAACCTTAGCCGACGGTAATGATGGAATTGAGATCTATTAAAGCAACTAAAATTTATTCAAGAGTCGATCCACGGTGTAATACGTTTCAATTTACCGACGTTGCGAGTATTCTACGTTCCACTAAAATTTCCATATTTTCTTTGGCCGTTGGAAAGTTTGCGTACCCGTTACGTGTCAAGAGTTAAATGTTTCCTGTTTCGTAGCCCCGCGAGATATATTTTCTTTGCTGCTGCTTCCTCGTTTATGGACCCGCTCCGTGGAATAAAGATAAGGCGATCATATTTTCGAACACGCCAAGTTTACCAGTTTGCGAATGCTAAGCCTTTTTTTATTACTTCTAAAACTGCACGGTATAAGTTGGCTGTCACTTAGAAACCACCCGCTATACCGCGTTTTCATTCATAAGCAGCTACTAGCCGGCGAAGCGGGGTCAATAAAACTTAAAGTGGCTGTATCCCGGGTACCGAAACTCGCGAATTCGCGTTTATCGGGAGCTTTCAGCGGCGAGATAGCTCGAATTATGCTTTCATAATCGCGAAGGGATTCGTTTCGGTCCGAACGAAGCTCGAGGAATTCTCCAGAAGCGCGTATAAATTATTCCAGGTTGATTCGATGGACTCTCCTGATATGGACAGAGTGTATTTTAAACACTGTTCAAATAATAATTATCTTTCCAATTTGCATTCCGTTTGTAATCGAGTACAAGCTCCGACGTCTTCGAAACTGTCGATGATTAAAACAAAAATAAAATATTCTTTCCGTGAAAGCGACGATGTAACGAGGACTCAAAGTTTTTCTATTTTTTATCGAGTACAAAGTGATCGATTTGGCTCGTAACGGGCATTTGATTTTTTTATCGCGGAGGATTTCTGCTCGCGAAACGTATTGTTCCGCGCGGATTGGCTCCTTTGAATGAAACTTCGCAGCGGATTTCGACGACGCCAGGGGGACTCGGAAACGCACGAAAACCGAGACGCGCGCTAAAACGAAGGGCATATATTGAAAGAAAGTCGATGCAGCCGCGAATGAAATTCTCTCGGGCTGATTTCGAACCGGAATTCGAGTCATCGGGGTTAAACGTGGCTCGTGGCAAATTGCACGGAAAGCAGTTCCACGGGAATCGCGAACGTTGGGAGCGAATACAGAACCCCCGCGAACCGAAAACGGAATACAATTTCCACGGGGTGTATCGAATTATCGCGATTTGTTTTAACGCCCGGTGAATCACGAGCCGAACTCAATCCGTGGGCTCGAAACTCCCTTAAATACTTGGCCCTCCGCTCTGTTTAAAAACTTTTTAAAATTGAGCCAATGTTATATAGTATTTGAAAAACAATCTAGTTTGCTCGTCCACGCACGTAATAATAAACAGCTATTGAAAATAATATTTAAGTATAGAATTCGCGAAGGTACGTCTCGTTTAAAAAAATAAACTGAAAACCGATTTGAGTTTCTGAAAGTCTTTGAACCGTAGTGGAAGACCGTAGGTCACGAGTGGAGAAACGTTTCGATTCGAAGCCGGATGAAAATTCTTTTGTCCGGATGCTGCTGGCAAGAGTGTTTACTAAGACGGCGGAGGCGAGTACCGACTCGATGGAATTTTAAATCGTAATCGAGGGGGGTTGGTTTCCCCGCCGGCTGGAACTTTCACAGTCGAAGCTCGTTAATTAAAACTAGTACACGGTCCGTTTTCGCGCTTCCTGGTGCGCTTTTCCGCGCGGTGTTTACATTTCATCGGGAAAGCCACGCGGCGTTCTAGGTCGCTCGATTTAGCTGGAACGCTGCACGCTCGGTCGGATCTAATGGAATGTACAGCAACGAATACCGCGAACGGTCGGGATCGTCTTTTTGCACGGAGTCCGTTCGCCGTTCTTCGACACACACAAACATCCCGAGAAATATGCAATCAATGAATGGCCCCGTGTTCCCGATTCGCGTCTGACCACAATCGTCTGGACGACGCTCGTTTCGCGGTTTATCACTGTCATCGACACGCTCGTGCGTACGAGTTGCGAAATAATTACATATTCGCGGACATTGCAGCGTGGAATTTTTGGACTTTGGATCTTTGTAAGCTCGGGATAGTGGATCGTAGTTGAAAATCATTGACAGTGATAGTAGACTACCCCAAACCCGTGACTGTTTTAGAAAAATATCGAGGAATATTCTGATTTTTTAAAGAGAGTGCTCGAATCAATTAGAAAATGGGTTTAAATTGATGCAACATGGATTAACGAGTATCTGCTCGATGATTGATTTCAGTTTCTGGGATATACCGAGCGCCTGGTGGCAGGCGAGTACAGTGACGATGGGAATCGGCGTCGCGATCGCGGTGATCGGCGCGCTGACCCTGTTGGCAGCCGCCTCCAGTTTTCTGCCACACATACTGAAAACGCCCAAGCACACACGAATTTTGGGCGCCCTGCAACTCCTCGCTGGTAAGTGTCTTTTATCGTTGGAGGTTCTTTCGAGAAAGATCGGTCCTAAATTAAGGAAACACACCACGAACAAGGGGGATACCAACGCTATTAATTAACGTAATCTGATCGTGACCTTTCATACCGGCGATATTTCACGGTTACACCGTTTCCCCGAACAGATAAATCACGCAATAAAACGTGCACTAGAGTAAAGTAGCATTTCAGACAATAGCCCTTCGGAATTACCATAAAGTTAAAGCGCAAGCTTGCTCCGGATCGACGGGATAACCCGGTCTGCACCAGCTTCCGACGGGATTCGGGATTATCCTTTCGAACCGAGAATGATCGTGGCTCTCGCGAGCATCGTTTAACCAAGTATCGGCAACGGGGATCGTTACATCGGCCCCATTACGTTCCGCGCGCTTGAGCGGCAAATAAAGCGCGCGGGTCAGCCATTACAGCCAGAGAATAAAACCCCGAAAGTATTCACGGGTAATTAACGCCACGGGCGTCCAACGAGCGAACCGTTCACTTTTGACTGCTCCTCGACCGATGCGCGGTCACTATCGTCGTTTTACAGTCCCCAAGAACCGCGACTGCAATTTGTAAACTCGTTTGCTTTGAAGCTACGCGTCGATTTCTAACACCTTGGGCTTCCCGGGTGCTCGTTCGAGGTTTTCACCAAATGTACCAGCTTTCCTACCGTGACAAGCAACTATCCGTACAGGTTGATCTTCGTCGCGGTTCTCGTTAGCAGTGAAGCTACTAGACCGTAAACTAAAGATACACTCGTCAGCCCCCTTCTCTGAACGGGCAGTAATTAAGGAATAATTGTAAAAACTCGGGCAATTATTGTGAATTTTAATGGTTTATAAAAGTTAGCGCAAACATATACGTTGAGTAAAAAAAATGAAGGAGTTGCTCATCGGGCCCCGGTAGCAACCTATAATTAACGCCGCGCGTAATAAGCTGCAGCGTAACGATTGCGCTGTACTCGCGGTAAAGTTTACACGAGCTCGTCACGGTGGACTCCGGAACGAGCTTCGTAACGGGTTGTACGGCAAGTTCTGTAATAAGTTCGACAGCAGGCTCCCGAGTAGGCGGTACATAATAGACTCCATAATAAGTTTCGCAGGACTACGCGATAGATTGTACGGTAGGCTGTGTTCCACAGATTCGCGAGTAGATGATTCCGCGTTACGCGACGGATATTATCGAAGGATTTACCACCCACGCGTCGAACATCCGCGAAATTAAGTAAATCATACATTCGATACACTCCTTAAAACAGAGTCGAGACAGCATCGAATATATTTTATTCCATCAATGTGTAAAGGGGGGTTTGCTTCGAATTACATTTAAAAAATTCTGCTCCAACGTGTCGAACATCGTACGACGGGAATATAAGTCGTAACAAATTTATACGCTATAATAATTATCACGTCGTGGAACTATTTGTAGCGTATAAAAACGCAAGTTAATCGTTCGAATCGAACGACCAACGATCCTATCGCGAGAGGAGCGGCGAACCCGTGGCGTTTTAGAGCGTCGTGGGGAATGGGTCTTAAATCGCGGAACAATTTAAAATAAATTCCGTCGAGAACCGACGTGGCACGATCTACAGTGAATTTTAAGCGTCTTTCCCTGACTTTCCTCTATTCCCCGAGCACAGTTTAATCCCGCGGTATTATCTGGCCGGAGCAGTATCGTTTCCGAAGGCAGGATAATATTTTACCGTTTTCGAAGTTTCGCGGGGTAGTAGCGATCCAACGCGGGATCGATCGAGAGTGAGCGTAGCGGGAACGGAGTCAAGACGTTTCGCGAGATAGGATGACGAACGGAAACGCTAACAGGAACGAACGTCTACTGTTTGCAAGGTAATAGAGAGACGCGTCGTTTCCCGAGGAGAGCCTCGCAACGAACGGTTCACAAAGAAAATGGATATTACTCGGATATCATTCTTCTTTCAAACGTTGACACGTTCCATTTTCTCGCTCGTCGTTCCGGAGTTGTCGCTTTTAAATTGGCTTTTCACCGACTGCCGTTGATCCCGGACTGCTACATATTAACACCCACCCGGAACACTGTACAGGCTGGACCACGAGACGCGATCATTTCGAACCGTTCGACCCTCAGAGGGCGAAAGAAAGAGATTAATAGATTAATAATATTCGAGGGATTAATATAGGAGCAATTTAAATTGGAAATGCGGCGTCCAAAGTAAGGTGTGCTGCGTCAGCGTTTCCGGCGAGTTCACCTCCGGCTATCCGGAACGCCGGATTTCATTTTTTAACCGTTTGTCGAAGGTTGCCAAACACGGAATCAATTAGCAGATTGGACGCGCGATTCTACTCGGCATTTTTAACGATAGTTTTCAATAAATAAAGTACAAATACTAAGAAGAAGTATTATTTGTTTCCTCGGGACGATCGTTCAGGGGGCTGTGTTTCATTATCCGGTAATTGCCTAATCCGAGCAGACTAGTCTATTAGTTCGAACAATGGGCGCTGTAATTTCAACTATCTATCAACGCAGAGCTATTTAGCTGTCCTATTAAGGCGGTCTTAGTCTATAGAAACGGAGGAACACGGTGGAAAGCTTTTTCGAAGAATCAAGAAGCCAAATATAGCCTTTATCGCGTTGCTTGTCTCGTCGACGATAACTCGAGGCAACGCGGAACTAATGCAACCCGGTGAAAATAACCAGCAACGCCTGGCATTCGATTTTCTGGCCGCTATCGGCCGTGCTCTGTATCCCAATCAGGCACAAAAGGAATAGCTGGCGTCCGTCTCGTCGGACAACCGCGCTCGTCCGGTTGCAAATCGAGCCCACGGTCTCAGCCATTTTTACGCAGCCGTAACTCTTCCGGCCGCGGAAGCAATTGTCGTCAGGTTATTGGGAAAACGATGCATCGCGTATCTCCCGCGCATCCTGCCTTTTCGGCAAACAATTTGTATCCCCATTTTTGCCCGACGGTTGAAAAATGTTTTTCCCCTCGAAAAATATAAATTGAAAACGTTGGCGGAGGTCTGTTTGCGCGCACGAACCGTTTGAGCATCGTTCCGGGAAGCGAATTTACTCGACGACGTTTACCATAAAATAACAACGGTACGCTATGTTTATTAGGGATTAACATGTTGGTGGTCTATGGTGGTAATCGATAAGAGTTGCTGATACTTCTTTGGGTATATAGAGTCAAAGTAAATGTGAAAATAAACATAGAAGACAGCACAATTAGTTAGATAGATTATGCTCGTTGGATAGAGGGTGAAATACCCTTTAAAATGAGCGTTTGTACGAGTCGGTAGCTTTATTAGTTCCGGAGATATGAGGATTTTAATTTCAAGTCGATCGGATGAGACCGAAGCCCTTGTTTACGTGACGAGATGAATGAACTTTCTTACTACGGCCTTGTCAAGGTCGTTGACCGCACGTGCTCGTAGTAAATAGTAAACGTGACGTCACTCGGTCACTCGGTCAGTGGGTCAACGTGCGACAAGGAGGTCCGAGCGCGACGCGTCAGACGGAGACAGAGATAGTTCAAATTAGAAAAATTACCTTTCACATAAATTGCGATATCTCCGGAACGGAAAGTCCGATCGACAAAAACAAAGAACCATTTTAAAGAGGAAGGTTTGCCGCCGCTAACAGTGGCGCAATAATGGATAAAACACTAGTGGTTTCGGAACTGTACGCGTCTAAACTTTTAGTATTTTTAATACGTGTTAATAGGCTCTCGCAAGACGGAGAACGCATGGACAGTGGAATTAAGAAAAATTACCTTTTATATAAATTACGATATCTCCGAAACGGGAAGTCGGATCGACAAAAACAAAAAACCATTTTAAAGAGGAAGGTTTGCCGCCGCTAACAATACCTCAATAATTAATAAAACACTAGTAGTTTCGGAACTGCACGGGTCCAAAGTTTTAGTATTTTTAATACGCGTTTTTAGACTCTTCTGAGACATTGAAGAGAATAAGAAGTGAAACGTAGTAGCAAGTATCGCGAGAATTGATATGTTTGGGGGAGAGAAATCGGGCTAACCGCGAGAATCGCGACGAAGAAGAGAGATTAGAGAAAATCGAGCGGTTGGCCGCGGATCGTGGGGGTCGATTGGCCGTGTATACGTAAACCGAAACGGGGCTCGAATTGCGGGGGTTGATTCCGTAGCCGGGGTATCGGAGACGCGAGGAATGCCCGGCATTCCAACGATCCGGCCGAAAGATTAACCCCGGCTGGCGATAGAACGAGGCGAGATTTAACCCCGCGACGTAGTAACCGTGCTGCCGTTTTCTCGTTACAGCAGTGATGATATGCGGCGGCCTGGTGATGTATCCCGTAGGATGGGACAACCGGGAGGTGAGGGAGTCCTGTGGGAAAGGTGCTAACGTATACAATCTCGGTGAGTATCGCTCTGAGCGTAAATTTAACGACCCGTGCCATCCACCGTCGTCCTATTTTCTCCGCTATTCTTCCGACGCTTTCCCGCACCGAAAACAACTCCGCGATCGATGGAACGATCCATCGAACGCGTCGTGGAAATTTCGCTTCTTCCGTCTATGCGGTACACTCGCTACAACTGTAATTCATTTTTCGATACACGAATCTTTTCACACCTTTGAGCATAATAATGCTATAATTCAAAATTAAAAATAAAGAGCGCTTTCGGGAGTCACCGAAGGGAGGGGGGATTCAATTTCTCAATGCAAAATTAGCCGATCGCGTCTTTAAACGGCGTCGCAACATCGACTGATAAATTTCCGCGCGACCGTAATTTTTCCGCGCCTCGATGCTCGCGTCTAAGATGGCGGTCGTTAAGCGGGAATTCTTAGGCCCTGACGATGCATAGAAAAAGTCGGCCGGGCGCGCGATGGGATTACTCTTACAAATGTAACGACGTCCTCGGAAGTTTGCACATTTCGGTGGGAGTTCTGACGCCGCGGTCGCGACATTTCGCCGTAGCAGCCGGCGACCTGCAGCCATTTCAGTACCTTGCGTAACCTGTCGAGACTTATGGTGGTTGTAACTTGGCGAAAGTACGAGCCCGCGTCTGCGACCAGTAATTCTTGATTTCCCCGCGATTCAGACGAGCCGTTCAGGTTCGTCGACCGCGTTCGAACTGCTTCGCCGTCGTCTACGTGTTCCCCCGCGAACTTATGCTAACCAAACATACATCACCTTTCCGTTTTCTCTTAAACGGGGGAATAAAATAGATCTATCTTGTACATAATATGGTATATACGTGACCAGTGGTCACTGGGATCTCGAAGTGATATTAAAAATTGTCCCGATCCGGTTGGGGATTGTTTTAGGGAAGTGTTCCGTGTCCTGGTCGAGCCACCTGCTGGTCAGCTCCGTGGCGTTGTTGATGCTGTGCTTCGGGCTGAGCTTCTGCGCTGCGCGACACAAGCCGTCCAACCCGCACACCGATCCACTGCGCATTTGACAATCGAGATACTCCCAGTCGATTCACGCCTATGCCTCGCCGAAGACGACCACCCTCTCTTTCGTGACGGTCTGTTGATCGTGAAACCGGGGACGGAGCGTCGGGGGCTAGGGAGCGTCGTCGGTCGCGATCGAACGACGACCATCGCCTCCGCGTCCACGTGGGTATACACACGTTTGACTGTCTGCCTGTCCGAGTGTACGTCTGGCTCTGTATGCGTGCGTCTACATAGCGCGACACACGATCCTGCTATGTATGTACTTATAGATGAACGTTTACGTGTGTAGCTTAGCATTAGCTCGAACGGAAAGTTTCGGCGCTCGGTACTCCGACGTCGTTGGTCGTCGTGTCGCCGAGACGGAACTTCCGTTACATTCTGGGGGCCACGGACGCAACGATTCCAGAAGCCTCGGAAAGAAAGCCCTGGCGGAAATTCGGGTTTCGCGTAAAGTCGTCCATCGATCGTTAAACATAGTAAAATAAATTATCGCTTGGCATATCTGCTTTCGTTACTTCGAAGATCTGGTGTTCGTTGTTCTTTCGGATAATCTTTAATCGCAATTTCGACTTCTTTCATTATTCTTGCAATTTCTTTATATTTGCGAAACGACGGCCAGGCGCAGGCACGAACGGGTTAAGACAGAAATATGCGACGTCTTAAGTGGAATATCGTGTGCCCCCTTCGTAACAAGCCCCGTTCGATATCGATCCACGATGGCGACTGCTTGTTACGAGCGAGCATGGCTTTCTCCACTTACCATATTGCACGTTTGTCTTAAAAGAGACCTCATAAAAACGAACACCGACGCGGTTTTAACTTTCACGACTGTGCTTCAATCTATACCTGCGAGATCCAATTCCCTCGCTCGAGTCTGATCGTCGATCTTATTTTATTTTCCATATATATTTACTAAAAGAACAGACTATTTATTTGCCTCGTTCCGTCGCCTTTGCCGTGGATATTAAATTTCAATATCCACCCCCGTATCCTACGATTAGTCGTGCCTCGAGTTTCAGTGATAGTTATTTAACGGAATTTACGATTATCGTACGGACGCTCGTATTACGATAACTGTACATTTTACACAAAATTATTGCGTCCGTGTGCTCTAATTCCGTCTTGACGTTCCGCGAACTTCTCGATTCCCTTTCTTCCAAGGAGCTTCGTGTCTCCTGGATTCTCTATACATTTCGTAATTATTTTCCATCGAAACACCGCGACGCGGAGTGACAGCGAGTGCCGGAAACTTTCGCATAATATTTTCCAGAGCCTTTCGCGATGGCAGCGTTGGCTGTAACCGCAATCGCTGTGTGTTCTGAACTACCGAAACTCAATTATCCATCTTCTGACCGTCGAACAATAGGGGGTGTATCCTTGAGTCTTTCGTTCGCGTAGAATCGAAAACAACCAACAATCACTGGCTCGCTTTCGCGACTAGTAGAAAACTATCTACGATACGCTATCAAGAATAGATAGTAGGCGAGTGCCAAATGGACGCGTAAAAAAATAGACGAAACAAGCACGACGACGAAGCGTGCCTAGCAACGAGCTAAGCACGCGATCGCGTAAAACTAATTCGATCGACACGCCCGGAAACTAGTCGCACGTAGACGGGCTTTCCGCGAGGCTTAACAGCCGTATCGGAGGCTGCAGCACGCCATTTCCGATTCGCTTCTGCCCCCCCCCCCCAAGAAAGGACAAACACGCCGGAAAGGAATTCGATTCGATCGAAGAACACGACGAGAATCGAACGTGTGACACGCATACGGACACGCTATTGTAACTATCGATAGGCTAAACATAGCTCAGGGGACCTATTTCCATGGGTAACGATTTTCATCCCCCTGTCATTTTCCATTTTCGATGTTAGAAAATTCCGCGTGCGCGTGTACGAATGTTTGGAGTTTGTTTCGCCTTGTGTCTCAAACGTAGTCTATCGGAACGTTGTGAAATTCGAAGCGTCGACTTCTGTACATATACATATAGACAATTGGTGCCCTTAAATTGTTGAGAAAATTTCAGTGATTTATCAGAGAACTTGGAACGATGGTTTCCATACGCGTTGTTATCGATGCTATTAAATGTTTGCAAATGTTTGAGACGAGGATCAATGAAGAAGGACAATATATTTATCGATCCTAATGGATCGCAACGTTAAGTTTCTATCGGAAGTTAGGAATCGTACGGCTCGATCTTTCTAACGATCCCCTTGAAGTCGATACGCGATCTGCTGGTCCAATCTTCAAGAGCTGTTCTGGCTCTGGTCTTGACTTTTAGATCCTTGGCCGTAAGTTGGACCGCTCGCCGACTCGTTCGCGAATGAATGGCTGCTTGAACTCTTGACTCCTTGAATGAGACTGAATCTTGATCTCCGACCGAATGAATGCTCCGTCTCGAGACGGGTCTCTTTCACGCCGTTCCTGTTTGTGTCGTTGAATTCCATTACGGTGTCGGGTTCAATCACGTATCATTGTCCGCGTTACGATTGTTTAGCCCGAAAGAAGTGGCCCGAGGAAATGGTCGAGGGCAACGAGGAACCGGAGCAACCCCGCGCGGGTTCGATCATTTTCTGTTTTTTTTCTTCTCTCGTTCGCCGACTTTCCTATAAAATATTCGCAACGCTACGCGCGTATTTCGAGCGGCAATTCCTATTTCCAGAGTCCACCAGGTTTCGCTCGTTCTCTAGAGCTTTTACTTCCATTTTGCGGTCGGTGCTCTCCGACGGAGATCCAAGCTCTGTGTTTATGCGTTTCCCGTCTCGCGTTCGTCCGTCGCGGTTACTTTCAGACGCGTTTTGCGGCTACGCTCGTGCAAACCAACCCCTTCATAATCTCGTTCGATAATACCTCCAGCCACCAGCAAGAAGAAAAACTGGCTCGACTTATCGCGTAAAGAAGATGTTTCGAACATTTTAGACGAGTACAGAATCTATGTACACACTTGTTTCATAGACTGGGTCAATTCCCAGGTGCGAAAAATCGGGAACAGTATTATTTTACGTTTCTTTACGCGAGATAATGAAATGGATTTTTCGTTGATTTCTCGAAATTATCGATCGGATAAGACACTTTTGGTTCTATTTTTGGTTCGTACCAGCTAGCTGCGACACCCGAATGCGGTGTTACGTGGTCGTGCGATCGATTTACCCCTTTCCATTCTTTGCGGTCGTCGCTCGAGCTGTGTGCTCGGGACTTGGACGAAAACTCTTTGCCACTCTTTGCGTAGCCTGGGCTGCATTCGACGCGCAGTTGCACGTAAAGTGAAAAGTTCCAGTCCCCTGCAGTCTTTTAGACGGAGGATTCTCCGCTCTTTCCGAACGATCGAACAGAGACCCGCGGATATAATAGAGGCCACGGACGTAACAGTTCCCCGTACGACTCGAGCACGACCTTCTTACAAACGTGTTCGACAAATCTTACAGAAAACTACTGTCAAATGTGGGTTATTTCCAACAGACGGGGCGATTCGTCACGCTTCTTCGTACGCTCGATTTTTCAAGCTGATCTCTATGTCGATTTCAGAGAGCAATAATGGCGGTCGTTTCGTTCCCCCCGACGCTGAGGAATCGTGCCTCCTCGGAACGCTTTCGTGAAAAGCACACCGTCGCGAGATAACGAAAGTTTTTTTTTTAATTTCCATCGCGCTTCGATATAAAAAAAGAGTTTCGGTCACGCGTTGGGAAAGCCTAAGTCAGGGTTCGCTGGCGGGGGGTTCCTAATTAAAAGACCGGATCGCGACGAGAGCGATCGACGTCCCTTCGAGACCCACGGGTAGGCCCTTCTCGCGGCGCGATCGGTCGCAATTAAAATTACACGCGCAGGCCGGGCTCGAATAATAGCGCAAAGGAATTGAGGACATCGATCCTCCGTGGCTCGGTTCTGCGAACGCAGACCGATTCGCGAAGGTATTCGCATTGTCCGGATTAAATTCGCGTTGGCGGAGCAGCCGAGAGGGTTCGTTCTGGTTGCACGCACCGTCGGCTCCTCGTGAATGCACGCTCGGACCGTTCGATCCGATTTCGATGCATCCGCGGCACGTGCACGACCTCGGGTTCATCGTGGTTCGACGGGCTTCATCGATGCACGCTCGAAACTAAATAAAATCGCCAGAGTCAGAAATTCCACGGCGAACCGGACCCCCCAAAAAAACCAGTTTTCTCGGTCATCGATCGGCCCTGGTGAAAATTTAAACACCATTCTTGGCTGCTCCAACATTTATTCGCAAAGGAGGTCTCGGAAAATTTGTTACTTTTAAGTTGTTATTGTTCAGATTCGAAAATAATCCTTGTTCGAACGATCGACCAAGAGTTCGACGCGAGGCGGAAAAGGGAAAAAGGGAGGAGTAAACGGGTGGGTCGCGGAGCGGAAAGAAGCGGACGATGCGAGCTCAATGGAAGATCTGTCGCGTAGCGCGCGTTCTCGGTCGCGGCAAAAACAACGTAGCCTTTGAAAACGTCATAAAATCGTTAAAAGCCGCAGACCCTATTTCTGGCCGCTTTTCGCCTCTCTTTCATTTCCCGCTACGCGACCGTGTCCCGTCCTCCCCGTGCTTCAGCTTTGTACGCCCGCTCGGAGACTGAATTTTCAGCCACGCGCCGTCAGACGAAAAAATGTAATTGTAGAACCGAGTTCGTTAAGCCGCGCGTGGACTAATTGCGTCGCGATCCGTTCCCCGAGCTTCGCTCGAAACGATTCTTTCGCGAGTGAGCCGCCACGTGTTCCACGGGCCCTTCGGGTGCCGTCGAGGACACTTTGCATATTCCATTCGCCGTAGAATTTTAAGGAACATCGTAAACCGCGCCAATTCCGTTTACAAGCTGTCTCTCTGTACCTTTCGAGCACTATCGACGCTGAGAACTTTCAATTGGAATTTGAAACGATATCGAAGGGGCCATAATTCACCGAGGACGACGGTAAAATTAATTTCGTCAAACTGTCCCGAAACCGTGCACGCTTATACGATCTTTCGCGGTCCGTCGAGGGTTTCGATCCCCCCGACA